AAACTAAAAAAAACTGTTTAACTGACTGTTTAGAGTTGATTAATTATTATGACTCCAAGTACTAAAATGAATTTTTGTATGGGCATTAGACAGTGTGATAAAAGTAACACCTTAAAAATGATATTTCATTTTTTAATAAATGCTTATTTATAACAACAGAGACTTTAATTTGATAACTTATTATTATATTGATTTCTGACTCAAATCAACATTTATTTATAATAATTTATTAACGAACACAATTAAGTATGTAATTAATTAGTATATGGGCGGAAATAATGGTGTTATATTTAATTAACGCTATTCTCTTTTATAAAGATTTAAATAGTTTTCTTTTTGCATACAAAAGTCTGTACATTTTGTACATTTGTTGCTTTAAAAACAATCTAAAATGTCAATATTCCATGGATATATTGATAAATGAGGTCTAAATTATAAGAAAATGCATTTTCTACGAAAACTTGAAGGGATAGGTAAAAAATGGTATAATACAATTTGATAGACAATTTAATTGTGCATCTGATTCTCCTAAAATATACAGGGCATTCCATTTAAATTAAAGAAGTTATTGCCGTTTGAAGCTAATAATTATTTAAAATAAATTTTAGACACTCTGTATAAGGTAGTATTATTTTTATTATTGCAACACAATAACTGATCAATAAATAAACTTCATTAAATATTTAGTATTAAAAACATTGATACCCTTGGAGAAATGAAGCTTTAAAATTTTTACTGCAATTTCACAAAATTGAAAATATTTCAAAAACGATAAGGTTTAAGTATAATAAACCTTAATCAAATTTACCTTTATTTTAATCGTAGAAATTAAAAATGTAATAATATTATGGGTATATTTAAAAAAAATACAACTTTGATATTTTTTATTTATTTGGGACACTCTGTATCTTGTAAGAATATTTTTAAATTGTAGCTCTAATAGTCCTTCAAAGAACCCCAAACTTACAATTTGTAAAAATCTCATCGTTTAGCTACAATACTCCGTGTCGTATGTGGTGAACAACCCTGTATATTTTGTCTCTTGACTCTTGACTATATTCTACTGTTTAAATTTAAATGTGTTCATCTTTCAAGATGATCACATTCCCATTCTCATTTTGTTAAAGTAGTATTTGGCAAACCTTCAACTTATTACGAGATTTTTATTTCATTAAACATAATTTACCTGCTCTATTCCTCGTTGACATTTTACCTTTACTTTTTTTTGTCCTTTTTCCACAATACAGGGGCCGATACTCGAACTTTAGCGAAGAAGGAATTGTCATTAACACCATCGGCATCAGTCTCATAGCATTAGCCATTGTGGTGGGCTACATTTTGCAGAGGGATGATTTTAGATATAGGGCGCATATTCTCATCAGGACTGGAGATCTCTAAGCTACTAATTAGTAAAAAATGTGTTCTAAAATTTCACTGAGTTTCTTTCTTCGACGTTTGAACAGAGAGAAACAATCACACAACGAATCAATTGTACAGAGTGGTTCACTTTTTGTAACGTAATTTTAATAGTCCATAGTACAAATAAATTTTAAAACCTCTCTAGAACTTAAGGCAATGTAAAAAATATATATTTTTAAATTTTAAAGCTCATTTAAAGGTCTATGACTGTTCAAATCCTACAAAAATGGATCACTCTGTATGAGGTGACACTGAAAGGTTTGTTCAAAATTGTACTCATATTATAGATTTAAACACACATCCTACTGAATAACTCGACATTAAAAAAAATATTATAGTAATTGTGACTTACTTTCCTATTTTTCGTTCTCGCATAAAAAATAAAATTAGACTTCTTAATATAATTTATTCCAAATAAATAAAACATCAGACAGTGTCAAGTAATACATTGTGGTTTAAATCTGAGAAATATATTATGTAAGAATTTTGCACAAATGTTTTAGGCGCACACTGTAATATAAGGGACCAGTAAGAATATTTGTAGTTTTAATTTGCTTCATGTAATATAATTATATAACTATTAATATACGAATATAATACCTCGAATGAATTTATACGTGAATTTAAGAAAGTAAATAGTTTTTCATATTCTCACTAATCTTTTGCTACAATAAATTAATTTATTACTTTTGTGTTGTATATAGTTAGGTTATATTAACTCTTGCATTTATTTACTGATATTTTCAAGATATATAATTATTTTTGTATACCTCCAGAAAATATAAAAGACTCTTAGATATTTATATATATTTTTGCTGCCTTGATTTTAATTTTGTTCAATGTATTATCGTTATATTTAGTTTTCTTTTTAAGTAACTGAATTTTTGTGGAAATGTATGAGTAATAATCTTTGATATGACCTGAAACATTTTATATGTTTTTGTATAACTTGTATGCTTTTTTTTTGGAAAAAGATTATTTTTATTGTGTGCCGACTGAAGAGATATAAAATCTATAAAATAGCCTTTTTTCAAAAAATCATAGATGGATTTTATTTATTTTTTAAAACTGGCTAAACTAATATTTTATATATTAGATATGATTGATATAGTTGATATATTACATTAATAACATGTAAATTAGTCTGTGTGTAAATTTTATTTTGTTCCAATATTTTTTTTGTAAGTACAATAGTATTGGCGTATTTTCCATTGTAACAGATATTACATCCGCAAATGCTTCATATAAATAAATTCATATTTATGGTTACAAAAGATTTTTTTGTTTATTCCTTATTGTACAAAGTTTGCTAACTTGTGGCTTCATATAATTGGCTTGATACGCTTTTTAGATCCTATTGTTTTACATATTAAGAGCTTTGCATTGGAAAACACGCTTCTGTATGTTTCTGTTACCTTTTGTATCAATTCAAGCATGCATCTGTCTATCTATAGTTTCTTCTTTTAGTTAATTTTGCATGTTTCTTTAGTGCTACTTAATGTTTATAATCTATCTTAGTTGAAAATACCATATGATTGAGAAAAAAACAGCGTCAGAAATGACTGAGGAATAACAATCGATGATAATTTTGGCGCGGTTAAGCCCTAGACGTCATTTACTTGGTCCGTACTCTTCTTTATTTTTTAATGGCGCTTGCTGCCAGTTGGCCTTAAGAAGGTTATAATTTATTTTTGTATTGAGTAAAAATGTTTTTTAAATGCTGTATGTAATTGAAAATTGGAGAAAAAATATTTTTCTGGAAATGTCTGGAAACGTTCCACGTGTCTGGAAACGTTCCATCCTTTTTTAATATTCCTATAATTAGTGTTAATTTTTGAAAAGTTTTATGTCAATTTTTATTAAATAGCGCCTAGAGATTGACCTCGTCAAAATTATTATCGATTGTCATTCCCCAGCTGTCTTTGAAAAATAAAATTAATTTTCTTAAAAAGGTCCGTTTAAATTAATATCTCCGAAACTAAAATTCCAAGAAAATTTGTAATATATCTAGAAATTCATTTACCCGCTAGTAGTTATAAAAAGCATTTTTGGTAAACTCTGTCTCTAATAGTTTCTAAAAATAAAATTAATTTTTTTAAAAATGTCCGATTAAATGTATATCTCCGAAACTAAAGTTCCAAAAAAATTCGTAATATATCTAGAAATTAATTTACCCCCTAGTAGTTATAAAAAGCATTTTTGGTAAACTCTGTCTCAAATAGTTTCTGAAAAATAAAATTAATTTTCTTAAAAAGGTCCGATTAAATTAATATCTCCGAAACTAAAGATCCAGGAAAAGTCGTAATATTTCTACAAATTCATTTACCCACTAGTAGATATAAAAAGCATTTTTGGTAAACTCTGTCTCAAATAGTTTCTGAAAAATAAAATTAATTTTCTTAAAAAGGTCCGATTAAATTAATATCTCCGAAACTAAAGTTCCAAGAAAATTCGTAATATATCTAGAAATTCATTTACCCGCTAGTAGTTATAAAAAGCATTTTTGGTAAACTCTGTCTCTAATAGTTTCTGAAAAATAAAATTAATTTTTTTAAAAATGCCGTTTTTTTTCGATCATACGGTAGTTAAAAATAGCATTACAATTGTGTTAACAGTTGACAATATTCACAATATTAAACATATACAACTTTTAAATTAATTCCCAGAATCTGAAATACTATTAACTATTATACAAATTGATAGTAGCGTATCAATTTGATTTTAAACGCATAAAACCACCTTTGGCCAACATTTGATCATAAACAAAATTATTGCCATGTCCAATATGGTTTACATGCTACAGAATGATATTAAACAGGTTGCTTAGTTGCCTGACAATATCTTTTTTGACAACACTTCATCGAAAGTAAATAATAAGTAACTTCCTTTCTTACAGTTAGCCTAATACTTGATAAAATGGCAAATATAATATAAGAATTAGTTGTACCGTATGATCGAATAAAAACGGCGTCAGCGATGACATTTCCCATATAATTTTACATATAAAATGACAGCGATCTTCATTTCATAGCCATGGCTGACGCCGTTTTTGTTCGATCATACGGTATTTATATGTATGTGAATATTGTTCCTACCATAGAGTAAAAAGTAATACAGAGATGGTGTTTTAAAAATATTTCAGTAACAGTCATATTTTCCTAAATAAATAGCTCTAATAAAAAACTACCTAGTAATGTTAAATTATTTCGTCTTTGAGTAGGTAACTTTTTATTCTATACAAAAATTAAATATCAAATTATAGTCTATTCTTTATATTACTTTTACTCTACGGTTCTCACTGAATGCCAATTTTTTATTGTTCTACACATCATTCTATTTGCAAACATTCAGAACGCATGAAATCTATCAAATAGTTAGCAGCATTGGTTAATCAACTCAAAACCATTTCAACGATTCGACTTCGCACCTTCAAGAACCATTTGGAGAGAGATTTCATCGAGGCATTTGGTTCTCTAAAATATCTCTTTTGACTCATTGCACGATTTCATAACACCGTAATATGTGTTTTCGTACTGTAAATAGCACCTAACCCTTGACCTCAAACTAATATCCTCTTTCAGGGACACGTACTCTCAATGGATCGAAGAAGGCATCGTTATCAACGCTTTGGGAGTCTCACTCATCGCCCTGGGCATACTGGTATCGTTCGCTGTTCGCAGTCCCACACTCAAAGCTGGTTCGAAGGTAAACAAGTCCAAAAAAGCCCACAAATTTGCTCATTGGCAATTTTATTTATATCGATAGGTAGTAGTACTAATTCCAAAATCATACAATAGCCCGTAGTACTATTCTATTGATAGGAAACAAAGAACCGCCAAATATTTTTAAAAAAATTATCAAGCTAATAAATTTTATTAAGCCCCTGTCGCAAACTCTGTTATCTCTAGATAAAAGTTCTAAAATAACAGATCGTTTAATACCAACCCGTCTTTAGTAATGACTTGAAACTGTCTTTTTAGTGTAGTACAATTAGTCTGATATTATTGTATCACCTAAAGTTGCAATATAAAGTGCATAGATTCCACATAATTCTATTTATCAGTATCAAGCAAATGTTTTCTATTAATTTGTTTATGTGCTATCAATTTTGATTGATTTATACTGTCTTCCTTAACAGAGCCTTTGTTAATTCAACGTTTATATGAAATACTTATCAATAAGTTATAATAAAGATGGCAAAATTAAACACTAGTTCATCACACTACACCAAAACACTTTACTTTTAAAACTGGACGTGCATCTCGCTAGCCTTGTTAGCATCATCCCCAAGTAGCATTTTCACGACTTGCGACCACATGTTTACTAAACACAACGTTGGATTAGTTTATTAGTCACAAAAAATAGTTAGCTCCGTACCTTGGGTATTAAAATAAATGTAAACGTTGTTGTAACGTTGTGCCGACGTTGAACTAGTACTACAACAAAGTAAAAGCTTCTGCGACGTCGAATAAACGTTGTCTTGTAACCTTTTTTGCTTAAGTGATCTTTAGGTGATTCGGACAACCAACGTAGTTACAATGTTGGGCAATAAAGAGTTTTCCGACGTCACTTTCAGGACCTATTCCAACGTTATGCAAACGTCGTCTGTTTTGCTAATTCCAACGTTGTTTAGATTTCCTTATTCTTACGTTGGTAGGACGTCGAGCCACTACCTTTTGCAACTGTATTGAACCATAACCTTAAATCTTAAATGTTCACCTCATTGCTCTGTTCAGTCAGACAGTTCAGTGCTGTTTTTGTTTTTATAAAAAACTTAATTAAAATGGACATAAGAAAGGTACATATATAAAACTAAATTTAAATATACATCGACATATTACCGATACTTTATCCACTCCCTCGTTTATTTAGAATATAGAGGGCGGCACAAGCTAGACTCTAGGATGACTAAATTAGGCATCTTATATTATTATATCTTGCGACTAGTATACTACCTGTTAAGGCTGAACTGCGACTTTATTAGTCCAGTATGCAACTACTCGAACTACTCCATCTTAATCTCCAAAACAACAAAGTGAAAGCCGCCATGTTGTTGAATAAGAAAATGTTTCGTTCCTAAAATAGCAATTCCTGCTTTTTGAATACATTAACTTGAAATATTTGACCCTAAACAACACGCGGAAACAATTTTTTCGACTGCGAATAAATTATTCCCATTTTATTAAAAAAAAAATCAAGAAATTTTTTAAAACTTATTTAATTTTAAGGCCCATTAATATTTCTCAAAGTAGAAACAATACATTTATCAATAAAGTTGAGTTTAACTTTTTTGCCTTGGGTAACGAGTTACAGAGTCGGTTAAAGTGTTTCAATAATTATAATCTTCAAACATCCTCCACACTTAAATATTTTTGTTTTGTTTTCCTTTACTGCCATCTGGTATATGTCTCTAACTAACTCATAAAAATAATATTATTACTATAATTATCCCAATTTAGGATAAAACGCGACTTAGACGCCATATTCTTATAGTTTTATATTTCTGTGAATTAGGATGCAGTTGCAGTTTGTACTAAATTAGGCTGCTAGTCAACGTCGGTATCCAACGTCGTTTTGACCCAAAAATTATTCTCCAAACTAGTGCAGACTAGGGTTGGCACGAGGTTGTACCGACGTTGCGCCCCGACGTTTGGTCGCGTGACACAACGTTGTCCCGATATCCAAATGCTGCTTGGGTCAGTTTAATAAGGGTTTAATCAAATGTTGACGACGCTAACGTGGTTAGCGGAACGCACGTCCAGTATTTTAATGTATTGCGGTGAATCAGTGTTATATTTTGCTGTTGTAACATCAAAGACTCCAACCCCCAACTATAATTTATTAAGCTACTTTAGTTTTACTTGATTGACATTATTTTTGACTTTTTTAGGTTGACGTATCTGACCGCATATAGGAAGAAGCGCCCCCATGCGCCAAAGCCTCGGAATCAAACGCAACTGTCACCACAGTGGCGCCCAATGAGCCTGAACGTTTTTGAACCATCACGGTAGGGTCTGATTGCATCACTAAATTCTAGGTCTGCTTTTCAGTTGCATTTCTATATAAAATGAAAACTCCAAACTATATGTATCTGTATTTTTTTCTGTATTGTACTGTGTAACTCATTATTATTGATAGTGATCTGCGTTAAGCAAAAAATATCAATTTTTCCTAGTTAAGTTTGTAGATAAGACAGCAAGATTGTAAGAAGGAAAACAATACTAAGATATAATATGAGATCTCGAAATCGTTTATAAGTTTCTTCAGAAATGGAATATTTTTGACTGTTTACTGTAATATTTAACTGCCAAATTTTATTATAAAAATTATTACTCTTGTGATTTGAGTAATACTCTCTGATATTAGTATGGCTTTATGATCTGTTAATGTTAGTTGTTAAGTGTTATTTATCAATTAATATACTTTTCTTCAGACCCTGCCTAAGAAATTAGTTGTAAATTGTGTTCAGTTGCATCCTTCTGAGGTATTTCTGGTTTCTTTACATCTTTCATTTCTATGTTGTGATAATTTTGCATAGCTCTTAGAAAAGACAATTTGATGATATTCTTGAAATTAATCAAAAATCAAACTGATCAAAACTATCGATGACTTATTGCTTGTGAGTTAAAAAGTAAATCAAAATAATTTCAGTTGATATGGAAAAAGGAGGTCCTGTTAATCAAATACAGTATTAGATTTAATCTGCAACGATATACTTTCAGAATAAATTATATTAGATTGATCCATGTAAATTATTGCCAAAATTACGTAGTAGGTATATATGTGTAGATCATTAGAATATATAGATTTTAATGTGGAGTAAATATAAAGTAGTAGTAATTTAAAATTAATTCCATAATGGTATCTTCTTGATGTACAATTTGTTAGGGTAAGTCAGCGACTTCATAAAGTAGAATGTTGGAGATTCTCGATAAATTGTTTAATGTTGATATGAGTGAAATAAAAATGAAGCATATTTATAAGGATTAAATGACTTATCTGTAAGGAAATTCAACCCAAATTATACGAAATCGGACACGCCCTTCTATATAACCCTGTAGGGTGTGATCTAGGAGGGCGTGTCCAATACAAGTATAATTAAATACACAGTCGTGTGTGTGTTGATTTACCCAGTATCAGATTGTATATCAAATAAGAACTTATTAATATATCGCATTTCGGTGTCCATAGCGCATTCATGTGTATAAATCATTGAATAATTTTATAGTATTCAGATTTGTATGCCATATATATTCAAGCTCAAATAATATAGCCCAAATATTATAACGATTACTACGAACTAAATTTCCTTTATGTTCAGTGTTTTGACCGATTAGCAATATAACAAACCTATTTAATCTGTAAAATTATATTGACGTTGACTATTTCAATTATGTATGTATTGCAGTTAGGCGGTAATTGACGTTTAGTGTGTTTCAATTTGAAATTTTATTAATTGTTATTGAGTAATGTCGTTTTTAAACTTCTATAAGGTTTAAGTAAGTCGAGTACAATTTTATTATGGACCAATAAAAAATAAACTTGATGTAGTACCGCAAATCAATCATTTACAAATTCCATGTTTTTTTTATAAAGGAGTTACCAAAAGTTTGATCAAAAATAGAAAATACATGAAAATATCAAAAACAATAATTTGCAAGCTACATCAAGTAAATTTTCGATAACTGAGCATTAGTTGTTGCAAGAGTAAGATAAACCATTTGACATAATGTTTTGTTTCTTGTTTTTTCTATAGATTTTGTTACCATACCTAAATGAATAATGTTTACATTTTGTTACCTAAGTATAACTTTAGGTAGGTAATTATGGTTGATATAGAATAATAACTGTATTTCAACTATTTACAGGTTTTAAATAAAATTATTTAATCATGATTTTTTGTTATTTTACAAATAAACCATATTATACACTTCTGGTATAGGTGGATAGGTTTATTTATATGATTAACATGAAAACGGATTGATTTATTTTATATTGTCACAATTAAGGCGGATTCTCACGACTCGTGGACTTGGCAAGTACGCCAATATTTGCGTACTTGGCAAATATACTATCTTTGTAAACAACATTTTTTTTCCAACCAGCTTGGAGCTCACGCGGTGCGACGAGTAACAAATAATTGCACAAGTGAACCGCTCAAACGACATGGCAAGTATATCCCAATAACCAATGTTTGTACGAGTACACGAGTCGTGAGAATCCGCCCTTAGTTAGTATTAAAGGTTGCGCCTTTGTGAATCTTCCACACGCTCGGCAGATCGTAATGACTCGAGGCCAATGTGTAATGGCGGATTCTCATAACTCGTGTACTTGTACAAACACTGGTTATTGGGATATACTTGCCATGTCGTGTGAGGGGTTCACTTGCATTTCTATATTATATTGCTATTCCATATATTGCAATTATTTGTCACTCGCTCACTATATTGATTGTTATTCTATATATTGCAATTATATGTCACTCGTCGCACCGCGTGGGCTCCAAGCTGGTTGCAAAAAAATGTTTTTTACAAAGATAGTATACTTACCAAGTACGCAAATATTGGCGTACTTGCCAAGTACACGGGTCGCGAGAATTCGCCTTAACAGTGACAATATAATGGCGCATTCTCACGACTCGTGAACTTGCCAAACAATTGTAATTGGTATATAGGGTATTCATGGTGCCTCGGGCATCTGTACAGAATTTCTAAATTATTTATTATAGGAACTATACTCCGCATTCACGCCAGATCCTGTATGCCAATAAAAAATACTTGTGTACTCGTGTACTTGGCAAGTACGCCAATATTTGCGTACTTGGCAAGTACGCCTATCTTTGTAAACCAGATTTTTTCGCAACAAGCTTGGCACTCACGCGGCGCGACGAGTGATAAATAATTGCACAAGTGAACCGCTCACAGGACATGGCAAGTATATCCCAATAACCAATGTTTAGTTATAACCAACTGGAGGACAATTTGTAAATGCGGATTCTCACAACTCGTGTACTTGGCAAGTACGCCAATATTTGTGTACTTGGCAAGTATACTATCTTTGTAAATATATTTTTTGCAACAAGCCTCTACGAGTGACAGATATTTGTACGTCCCCTTACACGACATGGCAACTATACGCCAATAACCAATGTTGTAAGTACACGAGTCGTCAGAGTGACAGTCATGACTCGTGTACTTGTATAAACATTGTTATTGGTATATACTTGCCATGTCGTGTGCGCGGTTCACTTGCGTAATCACTTTACACTCGTCACGAGCTTGTTGCAAAAAAGGTTGCTTACAAAGATAGCATACTTGCCAAGTACGCAAATATTGGTGTACTTGCCAAACTTGCCAAATATACGAGAATCCACCTTAAGAAAGAGATAGAATAAGGAGTAAGGCGAAATATAGTTTCGTCGGTGTCGACCGTTGTCCTGCGCAACGATGCCAAATCTAAAAAATCCCCACAATTAAAAAAAATAAAACAGAAGAAAACTTACTGTGTTTGGAACTTGGCGACCTATAAGAGAAGACAACTCTGTCCAGCTCGGCATAATCCTTTAGATCACATTTTATGTGGAAGGTTTTATTTGGTAATAAAATATCTGTTCAAAGTGCATAAATTGAAAATATATTTACAATCTTCACAAAGTTACAACAACATACAGTTTGTACTAAAACTATAAAAACAATAACAGGCAAGATACAAACAGCCTAATAGCACTTTGTTTTGTGAATACAGCTTCGCATTATTTTATACGTTTCCAGTTCTAATTCTAATATAGACAATAATTATATAAAACAGGCTTATCAGCGACACTGCATTCAATAAACTAATTTAATGAAAAATTGATGATTTTTTACTATCGAATCGCAAGCGACAAAAATAAAAAAAATACAATTATTTCATCTTCCACGATCTGTCTTCAATCAATCTTGAGCATAACCGTTTGCCCCTCCAACTATTTGCTATCTAAAAGACCCTAAATTACTCTGTTTTAAATATGTGTTTAATTAGTGCAAATAATTTTTTAGACAATCCAAAATAAAATATTTTTATTTACAGGCCTACAGGACTATCAATGTAGGTATCACAAATTCAATTGCTTTCATATTGGAATTATCGTTAAGAATCACAATAATAATTAAATAAGCAAACTAAAAGTAGTAACAAATAAATGCGAAAATTTTAAATAAAAATCATGGTAATATGAGAGAATTTACATTATTTGAAATAATAATATTTCAATAATTATGTATATATACAATATTATGTCAAGTAGTAATTAATATAAAAATTGTTGGGTAACAAAACACTAAAACTGTATCTAAAATTTTATTAAAAATTTCTTATTCTAAGTTAATTTAATATTATGCCTAGCATGAAGATTTTTTCTAAATTTCAAAACACTCATAGTCGCAGACGTGAATTTATTTCAACTAATAGTTTATTCAGAGTTCGCGTAAAAGATACATCATAAGTTTTTCTTGTCACCCAACTTAAAACCTAATATCACATTCTTTAGAATACCGTATTTTGCCACCCAACTATCCGCATTTCACGCATTCAACTCTTCCCTATTGCACATTCTTTCACAAATATTTGAAAAATCAGTCTGTCGAGTTTGATGTTTTCCGTTGATTTGGATGCACTTTCCGCGAACAGATTAGTCAAATCGGTGATGTATTTTGGTCCCTAGATCATATAAACTGTCATGGATACGTTTATAGCCGTCTAACTATGTTGTCAACATATCACAGAGACCATCTTATAACTATTTATTTGCAATAAATGTAATACTTCAATTTTTATCTTTGTTATAGATATCCACTGTCAGTTTTGTTTGACGCTTTACTTGACACATTTGAATTTTTGAGGATTTAATTTTTAAATAAATCTTTTTTGAGTTTACTTTATGTTATTTCTCATTTGCTTTGTTATTAGCAAATATATTATAAAGCTATATGCTAGTACCGAATTTAAACAATGAATGGAAAGTGCCAAAGGAACGAAATAGGAGTATCAATCTTGCACAAGTCTATCCTGGTTGGATCAACAGGATTTTCGTGCACACGTGCCAATTAAAACGATCTGATTCGTCTACTTCATCGCTGAAAACGCTGTCACCTGCCCGCGCACTATTTTAAACCCAAAATATTAATAACATATAATATATTATTTTTGTATTGGTGTGGCATTATTTCAACCTGTTTAGATATTCGTGAAATATAGATATATCTATCCGTTTCTTGTTTTTGTTTAAATATGTCTGAGATTAAATTTAAATTTATAAGTAAAAGCGCGAACAGTCAGACCCTAAATTGATTTACGTGGTAGACAGAAACTCAGAAAGCTATTTCGATTGGTTAGTATAAAATAAATCAACTAATCGCAAAGCACTTTTCACGCTTGCGTAGTGCAAAGCTGTTGAACTAAAAGGACCCACTTATGTGGATTTTGTATAGCTCCATCTCAAAAATTTGGCTTCAATTTCTGTTCCTTACTAGCAATATAGTCTTATAATATCACAGATCATACAGATTATAAACTTTGTTTTTTCTTTATAGTTTTTCGTGGTTCCAATTTTCGGAATCGGGCACTAGTTAGGTTACTAGTTTGCGCACATAGCACGCCCACGTATGGCCTCTAAAATTGTGCACAGCGCCTGACCAGCACAGTTATTAGAGAGATATCGGAAAACCGAATAGCGTCATGCAGTATTTACGCGTACCTTATCATGGTTACGATATGCTCTAGTCAATTTTTAACGCAACACCCGCTAATAACGTTACCGCCTGACGTAATTTGCGGATCAATTACACCAAGCGCTATTTCTAAATAACGTTTAAAAATTGCTTAAATGGGCATGTGCGGGTACATTTGACAATCGGGGCCGGCCGGCGAGCGGCGAGATCTTTTATTTTAGGTTATATTTGAATTGTTTTGGATTATTACTTTAGTTTTATTAGGTAATTTGATATTTAAGTAGCTGGGATTAGCTTTAATTAAATAAATATGGCCCAAAATATGGATTCCACCTCTTCCAATATTAAAAGAACCTATAGAGAGCTTAGGTTTACAGCAGATGACGACTTAGCCCTTCTAAGAGAATTTGTTGCTTGTTGCCCTAAACCCACTGGCAGACGTTGAACAATGAAGCACTGGAAATAAGCACTTTAGCCCTTTAGTTTTAAAATACCTAGTAAACAAAACAATTTCAAAGTTTTAAATTCAAAGTTAGGTTAAGTTTAAATAGCGGACGAATTCTTTCCGATCCGATAACTATAAATGAAGAGAGTTAATACCACCTCACGTAAAAGAAATAACACCTGGCCTTATTAACGTCCATGCACGCTATTCGGTTTAGCGATATCTCTCTATTACGCTGTTTATTGATATTTTACGCCAGTTTATTTTTGCGCACAGGAAATTTTACTCGTTACGTCATAAAAAACAATTTTCGTACCACGAATTAGGGATAAGATTTTTATCTGTATACATATAGTATACCTAATCTGTGATAATATATTTGGTTATTAGATTTATCGCACATATTTCATATTTAAATGTGCACAATCAGTATGCTCTACAAATGATTGTCCAATTTTATGTTGACATCACAGTTATTTTAGAAATCTTATGGCGTAGCAGTATCCACGTTGTACATGATCTAAGATTTGGTCTTGTACTAACCTGCGAGCAAGAAATTGTGATCCTTAAAGGCACGAACGTTAGACGTGAGATTCTAGAGGCATTTTGAAGACGTTCGACTCGGGGAAGCTCTGAGGCCTCGATCCGATCAGGTGCTGCCTCAGAGCCACCACCATGTTCTCGGGTCCTATGAGGCTGATCTCGAACAAGAATCGCTCCCTGCGCGTCGAACTGAGATCTGGAGAACTGGTCCGGATACCTTTCTCCTTATTATTTTCCGCGTTGGGATTGTTTTCGTCTTGGTTCTTGTTATCCACGTAGGTCACTTTGTCCGGGTCCTTCGTGCCTCCCACTGTGTGTCTCCGTTTGATCGAACGGTCAGGCATTCCGTTCTTCCTCTTGTTCTTCGTCGATTCCTTCAGTCTGCGTCCGGAAGACAACAGTTCTCGCCGTTTGTTGATGTTGCTCTCGGTCTTTTCGTTTTTTGTTAGGCTGTCCGAACGTTTCAGTTTATCTCCGGTCTTGTTCAAACTTTCGCTTCTCTTAACTTTGATGGTCGATACTGTCGTCTTGTCGGGTTTGTTTAACGACTCCGACCTCTTCAACTTCTGACCGGTGTTAATCTTATTGGCTATTACAGTTACAGAGATGTGTCTCTCGTTATCAGGTACATCGTCGGAAGCACGCGTATCCACTTCCTTCTCCTTTTCATTCTTAAACTCTTTAAGAATGGAATCGCCAGCTTTCGTCAACGGTTTCACTGTTTTGGATGCCGCGTATTGATTTTTGTGTAAGCTAGGATTCTTATATAAGTCGCTGGGTTGCGGAACGTTCTCCTTACCCTTGCTGGAACTATTTACAGGATGTTTTTCGGGCGATTCGTCTACGAATGGCAAGTCGGTCCCTTGGAGCGGGTTCGACTCGGACGTTTTGTCCTCTTTTAGTTTTTGATCTATTAGTTTGATGATGCTGGATAAGTCTGAAAAAGAAAACAAACGCTAAATATAGCCTTTAATTTTAACGGATTTTAATAAAATATGTAAGTATTGTTTATACTTTTATGTCAATTTCTAAAATCTTCTTGGAATATCGGAGCTAAAACAAAACGCTTAAAAATAAAGAAATCAGTCTAATACAAGAAACTATTAAGACAGGAATCTATGAAGAAAAAATTATCAGTGGCTTTTTATACAAATTTACTTAAGTAAAAAAATCGAAATTTTAAGGAAAACCGGATGGGTCTCAAAAGTGGCTCACCCGTATAACTTTTTTATTTTTTTCGACATTATATGACATAAATTAGGATTGATTGACGTATTCAATTGTTTTCGGTCACTTCCTGTTTCACCGGAAATGACTACAACTTTTGATTTTTAAATGGCACCCTCTGCATTTTTTTTACTTTATTCGATAGAAAATCACATTCTGAATAGAATGACATGTCATATGTCAACTTTTGACATTCTCACTTAATAAAAGATCGTATTTTAAACTTTAATTTAGAGTGCTATGGCTATGTTAAAAACACTAATTCTTAATCAAGGAGCCTGGGAAAAATATATTTGATCGTTTAATGTTTTAGTGTCTTGTCCTGGCCTGTTAAAAAATGCCCAAATCGTATTTTTAATCATATCTCAATTTTTTCAAATGGAACGAGGGTGGCTTATTAGCATATTTGGAAAAAGCATTTTTTTATAAAATTTATTCTTGAATTAAAATGACAAACAACTGTCATTGTCATGTATTCTATTGTTAAACATATTCTAAATTGTTAGATCTTAAAATGACAAGTGTCTTTTGGTTAGGTAAATTAGAGTACCTGCATCCAACAACTATTCATATAAAACAAATACTTTGATTTTTAAGTATTATGTTTCAGTGGTGATATTCCTAGAAGATTTCAAAAATAAACTATGTAGTGTAGAAGTAATTTGATTAGTAGAGAAAACTGATCTTGATGTAAGTAAAGGGTATATTGTCGATTGATCTATGGTATATTATCGCGGAAAATAAAAATAAAATTGTGGTATTAATAAACTGTACACAATAGAAAAGTAATTTGATACAACAGAGTCGTGTGAAAAGGTTTCTGAATAAGCCGTGAACACTGTTACTATCCATCAAAAGCTGAATTTTGGTACAGAAAACCCAGATTCTTTTCTTCTATTACTAAATACTGTATAATCGAATAAAAACGACTTTACAGAAGGCGAAAAGATATCACTTATGTTCAACGAGCTAACCTAAATTTATTCCGACAGCTGTCACAGACCAGTGAGAGCCAAACATACTGCTGATAATCTGATTGGTGTCTGTCAATCGTTAAAACTTTTCACAGTAACAGCTTCTAAAGTACACGTTTTTTTCTGTATAATAGCCAAGGTTTAAGAATAACTCACGATCAGCTATCACTATAAGAAAAATTCTGCAATTGATCAAATGTTATTTAAACGCCTACAGTAACATCATCTATACTCGATCACACAGTAGTTAGTCAATTTCAATAAGAATCTGGTTTTCTATATATCTAGGAGTAGTACAATATGCTTCTAACACACAGATGTTAGCCAGTAATAAAGCGCACAAACGTTGAGCGTAAGCCTTGTTAAAGATCTATGCGCAGCTGTCTACCTCTGAGCGGATTACAGACGATTGTACAAATGACGAGTTCTAGGAGGTCTTTGGGGTGCAGCTGTGGGAGGTCTAACTGACCGCCAGCCGACGACTGGCGTCAGTGAAGGGTTAGAGCCTGTCATTTAATAATTAAAGAATCAGTAATTTAATAGACTGAGCAGCTAGTCTCAACACAATCTCAAATTTCTAGCTTAATAAAAGGCGTATAATTTTACTGAACATAAAGATAATATTCAATCAAATCTTAACCCCTTATTTTCAAGTGACCATCGTAGGTATTTCTTTTATATATTTGCTATAATGTGCTGAGATAAGACTATGTTTAGATAATTCCAGATACAAGGGAAATAAAAAATTCGAAAGTACATATTTAGTAAGACATAATATTTGAAATTATAATTTTTAACAAAATATTAGCTGCTTCCCATTTAACTGACCCAATGTTTAACTGATACAGTTTAGTTGTGTTAAGTATAATTTTTACAGTAACACTAAGGTCGAGATCTGTTAAAAAGTGCTAAAAATAAATTGTTTACTTAAAAATTAAATATTATTTATTATTTAAGATATAACCTGTATAAAATATCATGAAAATTATATTTTCTTTCTTCCTTTAAGATCTTTGAGTAATATCACTGATTGAAAGAATTGGGAAGATACGCAACCTAATGGGTGAATTCGTAACAAGACTGGTTTGATTTCCCCTTACGTCTCAAGTGCTGTATGGTAGAGACACCAATCGTTCTGCGGTCAACGCATAAAACACTTATTTTCTCTAATTCGGCCAACGAAGGCATATCGAAGAGAGTGTGGATTTGAAAGCGACAGTGTTGCCATATCAAATGTGTAATATCTGTAATACGTTTGACGAAAATATCTTTGGATGAAAAATCCGCATTTACAACAAAAATAAAAGTTCTTTTATAGGTACTGAATATGTCGTATGATCGGAAAAAGTCGTTTAGTTGGCTTGGAAATAACGATTATTGACATTTACCATAATATTTTACATATGAAATAACAACGGTCTTCATTTCCAAGCCAACTCTGACGCCGTTCTTTGTTTAATCATATAATATTATATTAAATTGTTTAATGATAGAAAATCCGTATTATTAACGTACTGTTCTCAAAATCCGTAAATCTACGGATTAATAAGTAGTTCTGGCAACACTGTCCCCGGCAACCACTCACCCTGTCGACTGAAAGCAGAATTACGGTACAGTATTCTTTATCTGCTGCGTTGTAAACGACTATTAGCGCGCAGCGGCGCGGGCACAGTGCTGAACTAAATCTCGAAATTCTCGGACAGGCTGACGGTAACATCTCAGACAGGTTTTGTGCCACGAAATCGCCCATAAGGTTGCGCATCTTCTTATTTCTTCAATCAACGACAATATTAAAAAAACATATTTTAAAATTAAAACTTACCTTCATCACCTTGAAGTTTATTTAAGGAATCTAATGATCCTTTTCTTTGACTATCATTCTAAAAATAAACAAAAAGAAATTAAAAAACAGGTAAACAATTAAATAAATTGATTTTTTATTTACCTCACTTTCATACTTGACTTTCTTCATTCCTCCGTTAGAATTTAGATCCAACGTGCTACAATTTATGTTCTCCGCAGAACTACCCCTTCTCATTGGATACCGGCTTATTTTTCCATCTACTCCGTCACCATACAGACTCATTTTCCCACTGGGATCCACGGAATAACTGTCATTCTGGGATCTACTGTTCGGATTATACGAATATCGAGACACATCGCTTCCTAAACTATTACTGTTGTATTGCACCGAATACTTCTTCGAGTCCATCGAGTTTAGGCTGTTGCGGTTGGTAGGAGGCGAAGGCCTAGTAAATACGTTGGTAGCACTGTGAGTCTTGGTGAGTAGAAAATCTTGGGGTTTTCCCGATAGACGTCCTGCGTTCACGTTGCTCACAGAGGAACTCAAATGACCTGTTTTAGGATCTGTAAAGTAAGGTATTATATGATTACTAATCTAAACACAACAATATCACGTTATTTAGAACTTTAAAAAAAATAATTCATATAAACAGAAAATAAATTAAATTTCTATAAGTATATTATGTTTAAAAGTACTTCTTTTTATAGATATTTTGTATAACAAAATATTATTAAATAACAACAGGAGATATTCAGATGCAAGATATAATATAATCAAATTAAAATCCACTTTACTGTGATAAAAATCTTAGCAAATACTTATATCAATTTCATTGCTATTATATTTTTAACTAAAGTGTCAAGACACATACACACGCCTACTGCCTGAATTCAATAAAATATGTAGGTACTAACAAAATAAAAAATTCAACGTTTTAAAATATTGAAAAATATATGAGTTGTTAAAAAATTATTTTTATAGACAGACATAATTTGGTAGCATTTTTTAAGCAGGAACTTTCAAAAATATGACCATTTTATACTGATCTAGATTATGATGACACCGTATTATCACTTACCTATATTTGGTACAGATATCTCCGTTTTCCTGGGCCGTTGAAGCATCGCTTCCGTTTCCTGCTTGAAACTCTCCACTCTCCTATAGAAATCATCCTTATCCTGTTGGTAATTGAACCAAGGATTCTTCTCTACAGGCGGTTTGCTCCGATCTTTCTTTTCTATATCCATAACAGTCGTAGGTATAGTGTTCGGTTTTACAGTCATTCCGTGTCCAGTGTTCTAAAAATTATTTGACAAATCAGATTTTTTTTTTCAAAATTAATATTCTATACAAACCTCTTTTGATTCTGCAGCCAGTGAAAATTGCACAAATGCCTTTGGACTAGTGGGCGTCGTAGGTTCCTCCTGGTTAGGTTCATTTGGATGAGTCCTAGATGGTTTTCGCATAACTTTTCTTTGAGCAGCTGAAAACAATGAGGAAAGCAGTGCTCCATTCTTTTCCTTCTGATCCTTTAAAGCTGTAACATCAAATATATAGTTTAATAAAAAGATCGTCTTAAATGTTTATCTCTATTAGGTACCTTCGTATTTGCTAATGTTATTTAGCAATGCCTGGCTATTAGTTTCAAACTCTTCACAATGATCGGGTAGTGCTAAAGGTACAATTGGAGCTTCGTTTTCTCCTTCACTTTCTGGGAAGAACCAATCCGCCTGTAATACAAATAATTCAAATAAATATTCACTCCATCTTATCCGATAATCTAAAAAGTAAACTAAAAGCGATCAACTCAGTAACAATCAATTTGAATTTGGTCAAAGAATGCCTAGAGAAGCTATTAAAACTAAAATAGTTTCGGGCTTCATTGTCTTTATTTTTCATCAAATCTTCTCAATCATTCTCAATCAGATTCACGACTGAGAAAGAGAGAAACTTCTGTCTACCGTTTCTGGATGTTCTTGTCAGTAGAAGCGATGGATCCATTAGCACTGCTGTATATAGAAAACCCCTGAAGAGGATTCTCTCTCTCTCTCTTGGTGGTACTTGGTCTACCAAATTCAAAGTAACGCCTACAGAAGCTGCTCAAAATTGGTTAAGAAAATAAAGTCCCCCTACTCTTAGTGCCCGCTAACCAAGGCAAACATTCCACTAACTGAACCAGAACCGTTCTGCTTTCCAAGCGGAAACCAACTTAAAGTGGAACTGAAGAACCTGGAAGACTCCATCCATAACCCGGAATGGGAATCCCCCAACGGTCTAAGACACTCGAAAAAGTTCCTCAGGACTTGCGACCGCTAAATATCAAAGATTTTTCTTGATTAAAGTAAAATCAATCTTCGGATTGCCACGGGATTTCTAACAGGACACTGTCTCCTCAACAAACATCTCAGTAGTTTGAAGCTGAGAAACAACGGGGAACGTAGAATCTGCTGGAGCTGGCCTCTGTGGAGCCGTCTAAGATACTGGCTTTTGTTAAAGCCTTGAGACTGTATGATGACTCGTTATAACTCAAGAAAGGGGAACGCACAATAGATCTGTAAGGTCGCGGTGATTAACCTCTCTCCTAAACGTTCTACATTCTACAATATTCACTCCACTCTGATACTACCCATATTATACTTACATTAGTAATCAAGCTTTCTACTATCTGACACTGACTATTCATGTTCGTAACCATACTTTCCATGGTTTCATCTTCCGGCCTAACAATAGTCGGTCCAAATACAATAGCCAAGTTCTTGGCTTCCATTTTATTTACTTGCGAATTATCCGACACTCTTTTCAGATGCCGAATTACGTGTCTCAACGTGTGGTAGTTATGTTTCGGAAGATTACGCACTAGTTTCCTTAGTTCTTCCAATCTCACTTTAGGATCTTTTATTTTATCGGCCTTGATGAAATGAGGGTATAGAGCGGATGTTACTAAACTATCCGGCATCTTTCTTAAATAGGCTTTCAATAAACTACTGACTACGTGTAAATCTTTCCATCGGGGGTCCTCCAAAGGAACATCAATAAAATTGCGATTTATTTCGTCGCTTAAGGCTGTAATGGAAGCGTTGTTTCCAGGAACTCTGTATATTCCGATTGTTTGCAAGCCTTTCGCGTCTATGATATCAGTGCATACCTCAATGAACTTTGGTAAATAGGTATTGTTATTTGAGAATATGCAATCCTGAATTGGTATACCAAACGTAGAGCTGAAAAAGAATAAAAATTAAGTATACTGTTAATAAAAACCTCAGAATTCCTTACCCTTCTACAGCTGTCGGAGAACTAGGAGAATTGGCTCCTTGATTAAATTTCTTAAGCTGTTTAGCGACTCTACCTCTCCAAGTTTTACTCTTAGGACTAGTAGCACCAGCAATGTCAGTATGGTGAGAGGAAGGCTTTCTGGTTTTGCTGACCTAATAGGAAATACATTTTAGTTAACCGAGTAATTAAAAATATGTATATGACGAAATATACAAATCTACAAACACTATAGGTACTTACTGGTGATTGGCCAGTCGGTGATCTATTTCTACCAGCATTAATAGATTTGCCATTCTTCGTGGCTGGCTGTGGAGATAAATGACTGCCTTGCACTTGAAACGTCGTCGAAGCTGGAACCTGTTGAGGTACAGCCTGCTGACGACTAATACTGGGATCCTATAAAAAAATTCATTAAAGTATTTTGTTTGACTTCCCCTAAACATAACAATATGCTCCTAAATTTATTTGGAAGCTATAGCTGATCCAAAATACTATGTATGTTTATTTCAATTTGATCAAATATAACTAAAACTCACAAAATCGTCAATAAACCATCTAGTACTGTGCTAATACAGTCAATATGGCATCAAAAAAGGTCTAGACTCCCATCAAATTGCTTTTTGCAATTTGCAACCCCTGCTTTCATACTTTGCCAGTCTTAAGTATTTCACTGAAAAAAGCTTAAATTCGAAAATTCGTATCCCCCCACCCCACCGTTTTTGAGAAACTCAAAAAAATTCGGATACAATTTTCTGGCTGAACCGTAGGTCCTACAGAAAATTTTATAGAACAAAAAATGAAGAGAATTAAATTCTCCATATTTTCTCCACTTTGGCGCCCTCTAACTTTATCCCCGTAGGTTTTAGAGGTTTATTACTTAGACATGAAAATGTAGAGAATGTAATACTCTTCAATTTTTGTTCCATAAAATTTTTTGTGGGACCTACGGTTCAACCAGAAAATCGAATTCAAAATTTCTTTTGAGTTTCCCAAAAACGGTGGGTTGGGAGAATACGAATTTTCAAATTTAAGCTTTTTCAGTGGATCACTTATGACTTGCAAAGTATGAGAGCGGGGGTAATTTTGTTGTGTGGAATTAAAGTGCCAGATTGACTGTACTAATCTATTTACATTAGCTAATACCTATTTATTTCCTTTTCATGTATTAATTGAAAGTCACACTTCTTCAGAGCATTTATTTCATACATTTTTAAAAGACAAATCTCGTTATACATATAGTTAAAAATAATACCATACGATCGAAAAAAACCGCCGACGGCTGAGGAGGCCGTTTTTTTTTCGATCATACGGTATTTATCTTCTTAAAGACACACAGACATACCCAAATACGAAAAATATCAAAATTATCGATATACATTTCCATATCGTCAATTTGCATATCGGTTTTTTGCACTGATAAATATCACACACTTACATATGTATATGTCATAGGAAACTGATTTTGTACACTACCGAATTGCAACTAAAATTAAAATCTCAGATATATCAATTAACAATACAGTATAAACTGATAAAAATTACGAAATAATATTCATTTGTTCAGCACTTTGAATTGCTCTAAAGGTACTTATATTTTTGATATTAATTTGTCAAATTTTAACCGTGATAAGATAAGTGAGATAACGCACTTGATAATCTACGGCTATCCAAACAATTAAAAAATAAAACAATTAAATATTCTCGGAAATAATAATTTATAAGGCGGATCATGAATTATTATTATTTAATTAATATATTTCTTCATCTATACAGGGTGTAAATGAGTTAAAGAAGGTTCAATCAAATATTACATACCAACTCTGCTTCGGTGCTCACTGCTGCTTGTTCTTGCAGCGTCTTCACCCAATCAGCAAAGTCTTCACTTCCTTCCGCTTGGATGAGAAACTCTGATCTACAGGGTTTCACTGCCGATACTCGCAAGACATTTTTTCTTTTGGTGTAGTCGCCAGCAACGCGTACGGCACTGCTGCGCATGTCCACCCCGCTAGCCAATGATTGGTCCAGAGATACATCTGAAGTACCCAATGGGCTCTGCAATAAAAGGAAAAAAATGTTACATATTATAAAAGAAGTGGATAAATTATTTCAAAACTATATTAATATATGCCTTTAAGAAACTTAGAGGACTACCATTTGTAGCATTACTATTAATTAATTTAATTAATAACTGGGTTAATGATTCTAATTATTTTTTTATAGAGTTGTAATTATTTAATTTAAAATGTTGCCATTGAAGCATGTAACTGTGTCTTTGGTATTTATTTTCAATTCTACTCAGCGTTCTTTAGTATTTTTTTCACGTATTTTGAAAAATCAGACCACTCGGTTACTAAAACCAAGTTAACATCGTCAGAAGAATATTATAAATTATTTTGAGTAAAATTATCTGTTGAAAATACAATCTTGGTTATTCTATTTTTAGATTCTACGATTAAAATAAAGGTAAATTTGATTAAGGTTCATCATACTTAAACCTTACCGTTTTTGAAATATTTTCAATTTTATGAAATTGCAGTAAAAATTTTAAGGCTTCATTTCTCCAAGGGTATCAAAGTTTTTAATACTAAATATTAACTGAAGATTATTTATTGACCAGATATTGTGTTGCAATAATAAAAATTTTCTACCTTATACAGAGAGTCCAAAAATGTATATTAAATAATTACCAGCTTTAAACGGCAATAGCGTGTTTAATTTAAATGGAACACCCTATATATTTTGCGTGAATAAGATGCACAATGTAATTGTCTATCAAATTGTATTATACAATTTTTACCTATCTCTTGAAGTTTTCGTAGAAAATGCATTTTCTTATAATTTAGACCTCATTTATCACTATACCCATGGAATATTGACATTTATTTCATAAAAAAATTAAAAAACTGTTTAAATATTTTTGTTAAAAAGGACCAATTAATATGATCCCAGTATTCAGACTACATTAATTGACTGTTTATGTTGATTAATAATAATTGCTCCAAATACTAAAAAACTGAATTTTGGGTGTGTATTAGACAGTGTGGTAAAGTAACGCCTTATAAATTTTATTTCATTTTTTGACGAATGCTGATTTATAAAAACAGAGACGTTTATTTTCATAATTTATTATTATATTGATTTCTGAGCCAAATCCACATTTATTTAGAATACTTTATTAATTAAAACAATTTAAAAGTATGTAATTAACTAATTTTTGGTCGGAAATAATGGTGGTATATTTAATTCGTATACTCTTTTATAAAGATTTAAATAGTTTTTGGTATACCAATAAGCTTGCAATATTTACCACCTGTACATTTTGTGCAATGTAATAGCCAATAAAATGTAATTAACTCATTCTTTGAAACAGTTCTGTTTATCTAATATATGTTGCTTAAAAAAAAATCTGAAATGTTAATATTCCATGGGTATAGTGATAAATGAGGTCTAAATTATAAGAAAATGCATTTTTTACGAAAAGTTGCAGAGATAGGTAAAAAATGGTATAATAAAATTTCAGGGAAGATTTCAACAGATGACACTCAAAAAGTGACAGAAAATACAATTTACATGTGAATTCAAATGACAGGCATAACTATCACTATAATGGATCGTTGACTTATACAGGGTTGTTCACCACATACGACACGGAGTATTGTAGCTAAACGATGAGATTTTTACAAATTGTAAGTTTGGGGTTCGTTGAAGGACTATTAGAGCTACAATTTAAAAATATTTTTACAAGATACAGAGTGTCCCAAATAAATAAAAATATCAAAGTTGTATTTTTTTAAATGGAACACCCTGTATATTATTACATTTTTAGTTTCTACGATTAAAATAAAGGTAAATTTGATTAAGGTTTATTATACTTAAACCTTACCGTTTTGAAAATATTTTTTGTGAAATTGCAGTAAAAATTTTAAAGCTCCATTTCTCCAAGGGTATCAATGTTTTTAATACTAAATATTTAATGAAGTTTATTTATTGATCAGTTATTGTGTTGCAATAATAAAAATAATACTACCTTATACAGAGTGTCTAAAAATTTATTTTAAATAATTATTAGCTTCAAACGGCAATAACTTCTTTAATTTAAATGGAATGCCCTGTATATTTTAGGAGAATCAGATGCACAATTAAATTGTCTATCAAATTGTATTATACCATTTTTTACCTATCCCTTCAAGTTTTCGTAGAAAATGCATTTTCTTATAATTTAGACCTCATTTATCAATATATCCATGGAATATTGACATTTTAGATTGTTTTTTAAAGCAACAAATGTACAAAATGTACAGACTAGTAATATTATCGTTTTCAGCAAAACGATAATATTACTAACCCATTATGCAAAAAGAAAACTATTTAAATCTTTATAAAAGAGTATACCGTTAATTAAATATAACACCATTATTTCCGCCCATATACTAATTAATTACATACTTAATTGTGTTCGTTGATAAATTATTATAAATAAATGTGGATTTGAGTCAGAAATCAATATAATAATAAGTTATCAAATTAAAGTCTCTGTTGTTATAAATAAGCATTTATTAAAAAATGAAATATCATTTATAAGGTGTTACTTTTTATCACACTGTCTAATGCCCATACAAAATTCAGTTTTTTAGTATTTGGAGTAATTATTATTAATCAACGCAAACAGTCAGTTAATGTAGTGGAATCATAATAATTGATCCTCTTTAACAAATATTTAAACAGTTTTTTTTATTTTTTAATGAAATAAACGAATTATAGCGACAATATTAGTATCTGTACTCTTTAAAAATTTGGTACATCTTAAAAAATAATCTAAAATGTCAATAGTCCATGGGTATATTGATAAATAAGTTCTAAATTACAAGAAAATGCATTTTCTACGGAAACTTAAAGAGATAGGTAAAAAGTGGTATAATATAATTTGATAGAGAATTATATTGTGATTCTCGTAAAATATACAGGGTGTTCCATTTAAATTAAACAAGTTATTGCCGTTTGAAGCTAATAATTATTTAAAATAAATTCTGTAAATTCACTCTGTATAAGGTAGTATTATTTTTATTATTGCAACACAATAACTGATCAGTAAATAAACTTCAGTAAATATTTAGTATTAAAAACTTTGATACCCTTGGAGAAATGAAGCCTTAAAATTTTTACTGCAATTTCACAAATTTGAAAATATTTCAAAAACGGCAAGGTTTAAGTATAATAAACCTTAATCAAATTTTACCTTTATTTTAATCGTAGAAACTAAAAATGTAATAATATACAGGGTGTTCCATTTAAAAAAATACAATTTTGATATTTTTTACTTATTTGGGACACTCTGTATCTTGTAAAATTATTTTTAAATTGTACCTCTAATAGTCCTTCACCGAACCCAAAACTTACAATTTGTAAAAATCTCATCGTTTAGCTACAATACTCCGTGTCGTATGTGGTGAACAACCCTGTAGACATCTTCTCAGATGAATTAGGCTATCCGACGATCTTTAAGGCTATCGGATGGCTGTAATGTTCTACAAGCAGAGGTTTACGCTATAAAGGAAGCGACCAGTTGTATACGAGAGAAAATCGCTGATAGACCAATAGGAGATATCGTGATATACTCTGACATATTGGGCGCTTTAAGAAGCATCACCATGCAATCAGTGAGATCGAATACTGTGATGGACTGCCGAGAAGCACTGTCCTGGCTGCGTCAAGGCAGAGCCACTCTGTGCTGGGTGCCAGGCCACAGCAATGTGGTGGGCAACCAAGAAGGGGACAAACTCGCCAAAGAGAGGGCCCGGGGATAGGCCGTGGTAGATTATCCACCACTTGTGATAATCAACACACTGAAGGAAGCTATAGAAACTACCATCAAGGCCAAGCAAAAAAGAGACATGGCAACACCGTGAGGACTGCCCTACAACTCGAAGGCTGTGGCAAAAAACAACTATTAGAGCACAAAAAGAACCTAGTCCGCATAATTGTAGGTGTCATCACAGGAAACCGTCCCACGGGGGTAAACCTCGTGAGATGGAAGATTTCAAACGACAACTACTGCAGAGAATGCGGATAGGAAGAAAAAACCATAGATCATCTGCTGTGTCACTGTCCGGCACTGGAATACCGACGCTTTAAAACTTTAGGATAAGGTTTTTTGGAGAGACTAGAAGAAGCAGCAGAAGCCAGCATCAGTGAAATCGGGAATTTTGCAAAGGGCTGGAAGTGCTTTAACGCAAATAAAGAATGAGAGGGAGGTTTGGTACAATAATAACCAAACCTTCAGAGAGTAAGGGATAAAACAGGATCCCAAATCCCAGTAACCTAACCTAAACTAAGTTGTTTTTACGGTTAAACCGTAGGACTTACGGACTAATAAAAACATAACACTTGTCTTTTCCTGTGTCACCTGAACACTTACTTGTGAAAATAAGGTTCGTTTTATTACTCGCATGTATATTATATGTATATCTTTAAAGTGAGAGTTTCCTGTGGTTATCATTAGACGCATGGTTAGACAACTTAAATATTTTTTCTATTTCCGTAAAATAGATGGAAACGAGAGCTGGCTGCTTTCATTTTCGACATGTTTACACTGCAATTATTTTATCATTATGAAAACATACGCATTACTTTTTCATTTAATTGATCTAAATTAATGCTATCGCATTAATTCCATGTACTTGTAGAAGTCCGTAAGATGTTAATTGGCTGGTATTAGGTTGAAGGTGTCCTCCATTCACTATTTCTGCGGGACTTTCTTAGTTAATTTGCTTAATTAAATTATCGTTTTGTACTCAGAGTATTCTTAATGAATATTTTGGTCAAGTTTGAAATGTCCCTATTTTAGAAATGCATCGTCAGTTTGCAGTAGAAAATAAATCGGTACTTGTTGATCCTATAAAGTAATTTATTAAAACAGTAGGTAATTGTGCTACTACCAGGGTTGTCTTTCGTTATTTTACATACAGAAATATAGTGGCCTGTCAATGTATATCCAATGTCAAAATTAACTGTCATCTTTAAAGTATCATTATTTATAGAAGATATACCTTAAG